TGTTCTCTTAGCTTTGCAACCAACCTTATGCTTGACAATAGAAGAAAAATGACAAAGACCATATTTTACTCGGATGGTGAGCCAATTAAATTATTGTGAAAAAAAGGAGGACAAAATGTTACGAGTTATGACTAACTCAGAAACAATACTCCTTGTCAATTCTGTGCCATTTTGTCGCACTCGCTGACTGTATAAGATCTGGGTACGTTGGTGGACAGTTAGTCATAACTCGTAACATTTTTTCCTTCTTCTTTTCACTATATTTTACAAATGACGGGGACTATAATTATGTTACAGTGTTGTATGTGAACTGTGCAACCTAGCCCAGTTGCATATGAACCATGTTGTGGTTATTTATTTATTTATTTCTGCACCTCGTGGCATGTCAAGACAGCCAATTGAATTGAGGAGAGGGCCACCAACCACGAAAGAAGAGAAAAAAGAAGATGAAGAGTACGTGCACAAAGAGAGAAGGGATTAACAACTTACAAAGCAATGGGATGCTCAGCGAGTTATGCAGCGGAAGTGGTGAATGTGACTTTGTTTACTGGGAGATACTGAAGTGCTGTCTGACGAGGGTACGGAATTTGGGCATATCTGGAGCTTGTCTAACACTGGGAGGCAGTTGGAGCCACGTGGAGTAGGAGGAAAAGAAAGGGATATTTACGAATAGGGTAGACCTAGCTAGGGGAAGACGAACGCAGCTTCGGGTGGTGCCACCTGAATTGAACCAATTAAGGGACTGTAAATGAGCAGGGTGCTGGTCAAGAAAAAAATTGAATGTGCCAGGGTGCACTTGGAAGCATGAAGGTAATGTTGCAGAGTGGTAGTGGATGCAGCAGCATACAAGTCTAGATTTGAGATATAACGATCAGTACGAAATATGATGCGCAGTATACGGCGATGGAGAACTTCTAATTTACCTGTGTGGGTTTTGTTAATGGTGGACCGGGCAGGGAAGCCGTACGTGAAGAGGGGAAGAATGTATGATTTATAAAAATTAATCCAGCAATTTTGGGGCAAATGGGACAAGTGACTTGACATTATGCCGACAGATCGGCATACTTTTGACGACACATGATCAGCATGGTGAGACCAGGAGAGGGCGGAATCTATGACAATGCCAAGGCGTTTATGGCGGGGCGCTACAGAGATAGGGTGACCGGGATCATCGGGAAAGTGGAAGATGGGCACTGGATCTGTGGGAGGGGGAAAAAGGAGGAGCTCGGTTTTGGTAACATTTGGCTTAAGGTACCAAGTGCTCATCCAGTGAATAATGTTGTTGATACAGGTCTGAACTTTGGGGTACAGGGTGGCGTGAGATGGGGAGGAAGCAAGGACAGTGGTATCATCTGCAAACAAAGAAATATTGGGAATTGAATAGGGGAGGTCATTAACGTATGTGAGGAAGAGCAGGGGACCTAAAATGGAGCCCTGGGGCACTCGGGATGTCACAGACTCGGGGTCAGATAAGGTTCCATTTACTGTGACGCACTGATTTCGGTCCCAGAGGTAGCTAGTTATCCAGGCGAGTAGGGAGCCGGAGACACCATGGGCACGAAGTTTGGCGATCAGGCCCTTGTGCCACACGGTGTCGAAGGTCTTGGAGAGGTCGAAGAAACAGATGCAGGAGACCTGCCGCTGGATTGTTAGGGAGCAGAGGTCTTGGATTATGCGGGAGAATTGCAGGGATGTGTTGTCCTTACGACGGAAGCCAGATTGTGCGGGGTGAAGAAGAGGGGAGATATGGTCGTACAAGCGGTCGTACACTATTCTCTCTAGCAGTTTGGAGACGCAGGACAGGAGGGAGATTGGTCGGTAATTAGACGGGTTCTTCTTGTCGCCTTTATTTTTGTACACTGGAATGACAGTGGCTGACTTCCATCGTGACGGGAATGTGCCGGAGGAGAGGGAAAGGTTAAAAAGAATGGAGAGTGGGCGGGCAATTGAGTAGCTCAGTTTCCTGAGGATCTCATTGGTGATCCTGTCAGCTCCGGGGGATTTGTTCAGAGGCAGTCTTGCAATATACTTGTGAACAGTCGATGAGGTGATGATCAGGGAGTGCAATGTAGTTGCTGGTGGAGGTAGGGAGGAAATAGTGGGAATAGGAGCATCGGGGTCAACCTGTAAGCCAGCACTGACGACGTGGCGGTTCAATAAGTTACCAATGGATGCCGGAGAGGTGGTTGTTCGACCATTGGGGCCCACCATCTTCGAAGGTATGACCCGGGCGCTGGTAGGATTTCGCAGTTGACGAATGAGCACAGGGAGGGATGGGAGGCGAGGGTTTGTGGGAGATATCGTGGCACGGAGGTTGTGGATGTAGCAGCGATGGCAGAATCTGGAAAGGCATTTTACATAGTTACGCTGGTGTTTGTATTTGTTGAAATTAGTAGGGGATGGGTATTTCCGGTAGATGCTGTAGAGATCGCTCTTGACTTTAAGTTAGGAGTTATTTCTGAAAACAAGGTAATGATTCGGCATTTTAGATTCGAACTACTACAATCCTAAACTCCCTTCAATCAGTGAAGCAGATAATAATAAATATGGTGGTAAAGACACACCTGGCAATAAGGCGGTAAACACACGCCTGCCAACACACGCCCTCTGGGCTGCAAATTTCTAGCACAGAGCTCTCCTGCTCACAACCACCACCATCAGTTCGCGCCTGGCGCCTAGTCGATGCATGGTTGGCGGTATCCGACATAGCAGGCTGGTGCATCAAGTCCCGAGTCAAGCTGCGTATGAGGACATCCAAGAAGAAGAATGCCTGATGAGTCCAGCGGGGACGAAACGTACGTCGCAATTGAGCTATGTCGTTGCTGTGTCATCTTCTATGTGCCATGCGCTACTTGATGTACCAGCCTGCTATGTCGGATACCGCCATCCATGCATCGACTAGGCACCAGGCGCGAACTGATGGTGGTGGTGGTGAGAAGGAGAGCTCTGTGCTAGAACTTTGCAGCCTAGAGAGCATGTGTGGGCAGGCGTGTGTTTACCGCCTTATTGCCAGGTGTGTCTTTACCACCATATTTATTATTATCTGCTGCACTGATTGAAGGGAACAGTTGTAGACGCTGCGTGTAAAGGGAGGCTGGGCACGGCTGTCAAGAAGCGGCAACTTAGAAAGATGGCGTCGGTTCAAGATGGCATGGTAACCGCGCACGTGCCGTGGTCCGTGACTTGCTCATGTATGCACGCAAATGCAAGGCACAAACTCACAAAGATCGTCTTTGCATTTGGAGAAAATATCTTCGACTCTCTTTGGAGGTTGGCGAGGTTTACCTAATCTTTACTTGATTGCGATGCCGGTATGTCCTCTCAATAATTAGAACAAAGAGAGCTGATGATCGCTTCATTGCTCAGCAGAAGTAACAATCAACTCTCCTCATGTCCTCAGTGCCAAAGGCAGACGACTGCAATTCCACAACGCTCATGTCACGACGATGGAAACAATAATCGTGTACTAGTACACACTTGGACCATTTGGTCATCCCCATTCTAGCCGCTAGTCCGTCCAGCAAGCAGATATTGACTATTACGATAAGGACAACTGCGTGAACGAGGGCTCGCCCAGCAATTACAATTCAAGTCGTGACTCCAGTCAAGAATTAGGGTCTTTACTCGAGAACTTCACAAATACAGGCCAAGGCACGCCACAAAACTGATAGATGGCATGAACGAAAGACAAATAGGCTAGACAAAGTGTCTCAAGTGATTGAAAACATCAGATCTACCAAATAAGACAGCTACAGGTGCCTAAAAACCGATTCCCATACAGTAGAGAGTGGTATCAGGCAGAATGAAGCTGGAAGTGCACAAATACAGCCACGACCGCCACAAAAATTGGACGACCACCACAAAAAATTCTCATTGCTCTACCTCCTTGAAGGGTGAAAGTTACCAGTTATCCTATATCGATGTCAGTTTATGCCTGTTGGAACCCCCCACAGCCCGCACGAAATACCTTTCAAATAATTCCAGGATGCAATTGCAGCTCCGGACAGGAGGAAGAAGAACACCGTGAAAAATAACGGCAACGATGCCCAAACTCTCGGGAAACGGCTGAAGTCTTCCTGAAGATGTTAACATTGAATAGCCATCGATTACCAGCGTGGTTTGGTAACTTTAGAACTGTTTTGAGACTTAGAACGAAGCAATATCTCAATTTTAATGGAATTGCTACCTGTCAAATGCGTGGGCGAGCAGGCCAGCTGACTGGTTATGCATGAGCATGCATTGATTTTTCATGGTTCACGTGCAGAAAACTAAGTTGCCGCGATCCAAGTGCAGCTAACAGCCGTGTGGGCCCCTGACGCCTGGACAACATGTGCGGGTGCACGACAGTTTTTTTGTCAGGCAAAACCTCACTAGCCTGTGAGTTTAATACTTCTGTCGAACGGGTCCTTTGGTTTTAGGTCCTGAAGTCCTCAGAAGTCGACGGGATATGTTTTCAAATCACGAGCGAGTTGTCGCTGTTATGATTTCGGACACAGTCAAGGAACAATGAACGTTGCGATACGAGCATTTCTCAAAGCCAAACGGGAAGGCTCGGCACGCGCACACAAAGCACAGGTAGCCTGGGAGGCTGTGACGAGAAGTTTGGGAAATGTTGACTTGATGGAGTTTTAGTTCGTAGCTTGTTCGTGAAAACTTTGGCATGGCTCGCTTGTAAACAGACCTCTTAATTTATCAAGTGATATTTTTCAAGGAGAAGGCCAGTTTATGGGGTTCCCTTGAGAAACGTTTTCAAAGGATCTGCACAGTCAATCTACACCTCAAAAGAAAATCACCTGCACAATTTGGCTTAAACCGGAGACATTATTTTCACGCAACGTCTGGTTTCCTCGGACATGCTCTCTTAAATCTACTTGTACACGATAAGGATGATTTATAGGACACCGCACACATTTCCTATAACCCGTTACCACCTGATATGTTACCGGCCATCACTGTACACAAGTATTCTCCTGGATGCACTTTTCTCGTCTCTTTTTTAGACTTCTGTACTCGAATCGACTTGCAAGCCTACCTCCCGATGTATTTGCCAACCTAACACTCCTTCAGTATCTGTAAGTTAAACTATTCTGTAAAACTCGGCCCCGTCATCTCTGCAAAAACAGAGTAAAAAAAGAATGTTTCTATGTTTATTTTGCAACCGAGGCACCAGTTAAACTCACCTAATCTTGTTTTCCTGGCTGATTGTCTTATGTGCATATTATGCGAACAAGCTCTTTATGTGTATGCACTGTCCTTCAAAGATACCTCATTCATGACAAGCCGTACAGTTGATCCGTTGTGGATTTGTTTTAGAATACGTTTTCGCATTGTGCGGTATGGTTTAGATCGCAGAATTGTGATGTTTTCGGTTTGATTTCTATAGACCTTAGTCGGTGTCACATAATCGTTCTAATGTATGGGTGTGCTGCTAATGACCCGGGAATGTAAGGACAGGGTAGATTGCATTGGTTTAATGGACTCGGTTGTGGTTTAAAGAGAATGCTGGGATTATTAACAGAGGGCTATGAGTAAGAGCAAAATGACAAGTGTGATGGTGTAGAAGGTCTGAGGAGATGGCGCCGGCAGGAGTGCCTACACAGAGAGTAGAAGATGCTTGAAGTGAGGTCCTGCAGCCTGGAGAAACAACACAGCAGATATGTCGTGGTATGGAGACTCGCCGACCTCGTAATGAAAAGGTGCGTGGACAGCAAGTGGTAGGTGAACAGACACCCAGTTGCCAGGAGAAAAGACGTGATCATGCCTGAACTTGTTCAGTGTGCAGTGACTGCAGTCGGTAGGCTTAGGGCTGTCATCACGTGACCGACCATGGCTGGCCCTATCCCGTACATGTTCCCTGCCATGTCGGCAGAGGCAGCAAAATAGAGCTTTCAAATGGAGAATCACAAAGTGACACAACGTTCTTTTCGAGCTCCAGTCTTTTTACATCGTCTCGGACATCCCAGCCGGCATTAGGCCGGACTTGTGGCAGGCAGGTAGCAGTGGTTTCAGTGTAGTGTAGTGTAGTTGTAGCTAAGGTAGCCAAGTTGCGACAAGGAGAAATTGTTATAACGTACGCACGCAAGATTCATTCCATGCAACACGCGTATGCCACAGCAGGAAACACCATCTGGTTTGTTCTAGGATAATTTAGAAGTGAACATGTTAAAGGCAATCATGGAGAGATAAGCAGCAGAGCCACGTCAGTGCTGTCGTGGCACTAATGGCGCTATGACACGACAGTATGCCTCGTCAGCTCGTACCAAAGTAAGACACAAGTCAGCCATGCAGACGTAATGCAGAAGAAGACTGATTCATAATGAAGTAAGACATTGTCACTTTTCGTCATGCATGCATCAAAGGAACGTAGAACGACACACGTAGCAGAACGTAGATGGTAGATCGTACCACAAATATTAATAATAGATCAATCTTTAAGTAAATCTTTAAGTTACGACAATCAAGACGCATGGTTTTTTGTGAGTATTGAGTGACTATCTTAGCATTAGTCATGAGTGACTTGCCTAGCAATTCTGACATTGCCTTAGAGTGTCCTATTCCGATATTTTTCTGTAATAGCATAGTATTGTATCATAGTTAGTCGGATATAAGGATTTGCTCTTGTATATAGTTTGTTTTGATGCATTTTGATCATATGTATATGCATTATTGCTATTCCCACTTCACTACTTCTTTAAGGAAGGAGGATTGTTATAGATTGATCTATTACACACGATCAGGGGCACGGCGCATTCTTGACGAAAAGCGCAGCGACACTGGAGTTGACGAAACAGGCCCTGACACATCAGGCATACTAACAGGAGTAGCAGCAGTAGTAGACAAACTAGACGTAGCAGTAGTAGGCGTACTAGACGTAGCAGTAGTAGGCGTACTAGACGTAGCAGTAGTAGGCATACTAGACGTAGCAGGAGTAGGCGTACTAGACGTAGCAGTAGTAGTAGGCGTACTAGACGTAGCAGTAGTAGGCGTACTAGGAATAGCAGTAGCTGCTGTATCAATGACAGTGGACGACTGAGCCGGCGGTGAAGCTGGTAACTCAGGAGTTGGAGTTGCTGTAGCGACTGTCAGAGTAACACTTGGTTCACACACTGTCAGAATGGCGTCGGACTCGGCCGATAAACTAGCAGACTCAGCTGTTCTGGACTTCACATGATCGATGTGCACTTTTCGGACGACTCCTCCTACCATCACAGAATAGGTCAACGTACTAAGTCGTTTGCAAATTAAACCTTCTAGCCACTTGGGCTTAGAGCCAGGACGAGCATTGTACACCCACAATGGTGCATTCACTGTGAACTCACGAGACGCAGTACTGTCGAGTTCATGAGCCTGCTGCATAGCCGTGGCGAAACTTGGTTGCAGCAGCGCCAAACGCGTGGTCGGGGCTTTCTTCAATCGAATACTCGCGGGACTCTGCTTAGTAGTGCTGTGCGGCGTGTTTCTGTAATCGAAAAGAAAGCGAGACACTTGCACACACACACAGACACATGGTGAGGTCTTGCTCGCAAAGCCGTCTTCAGCTCTTGCACCATCCACTCACACTGTCCATTGCTGGCGGAATGATAGGGCGGCGTACGATGATGCTTAATACCATTCTGGGCACAGAAAGCAGCAAACTCGCTAGAGGCAAATTGTGGGCCGTTATCAGATACTAGCACTCTAGGAATACCAAATGTACTGATGAACCGAAGCAAACAGTTCACTGTTTTAGTAGTCGTAGCGGATGAACCAAGCTCGTATACGTCAATCCACTTAGAGAATGCATCAACTAGGACCAGAAACTGTTGCGACTCGAACTCAGCAAAATCAAGATGCACACGCTCAAAAGCAGCATTGGGGTATGCCCAATGGTGAACAGAGTCCTTGCGGGGCAGATTAGAGCTTTCCTAACAAAGACTGCAATCGGCGGCTAATCGTTCGATATCGGCATCTAAGCCTGGCCACCAGAAAATGCTTCGCGCCATACTCTTCATTCGAGACACACCGGCATGTGAAGAATGCAGTTCCTCTAATAAGTGGCGTCTAAACTGAACTGGAATAATGACGCGGGAACCCCACAGCAAACAACCCTGCTCAATACTTAGGTCATTCCAGATGCGGCTATACGGCACTAAGCTGTCGGGAACTGTAGCAGGCCAACCATGCAGTGTGTAGGACATTACTAACGAAATGTCAGAATCGTATTTGCTAGCCTTGGTGACATCCGAACTCTGTAGAGGCATTAACTCGCAGTTGTCAAATGCATGACTGCTGACTGCACTAACAATTGCAGACATTTCAGCAGCAGACAATGGTAAAGGCAGACGAGACAGACAATCTGCTAGCACATTTTCTTTACCTGGAATATGCTCAATGATGTTGTCGTACTCAGCGAGAATCACGGCCCAGCGCTGTAGACGGGATTCCAACGTATTACTTAGCGACTTGCGCTCGCCGAAGATCTTGATCAGAGGCTTATGGTCGGTGCGCAGAATGAACTCACGACCGTAGATGTACTGGTGTAAGCGACGAACAGCAAACACAATAGCTAACGCCTCTCGCTCAATCTGGCTGTAATGACTCTCTGCTTTGGACAAAGCACGTGGCACATATACAACTGGCCAAACAGACTGGCCCCGGCATGACATGTAGAAGAGCATCACCAATACCAGCAAGGGATGCATCACACTCTAAGATTAGTGGAAAGGTAACATCATAATGAGCCATAACTGGATCGGCGATGAGAAACTCTTTAACCTTGGCAAACGCTGACTGACATGCATCCGTCCAATTAAAGACTTCATCCTTCTTTAACAACTCGTTCAGGGGTTGTAACAAAGACGAGCAATTGGGGATAAATCGCCCAAAGAAATTCACGAGCCCCAGAAACGAACGCAAGGTAGATACATCATGGGGCCTCGGGGCATTCTGAATACTCAAAACCTTTTCCCGGCTGGGCTGTAGACCAGCCTTCGACAATGTAAACCCAAGGTTACTAACTTGCGGCTTACCAATCTCACATTTCTCACGACGCAGTCGCAGCCCTGTCTCTGCGAAACGACGGAAGACTGCTCGTAGACGCTCGTTGTGTTGTTGTTGGGTGTTACCACAAATGAGAATATCGTCGAAAAAGACAACGACACCTTCTAGACTCTGAAGAACCTGCTCGATGGCCTTCTGCCAAATTGATGGAGCTGAGCTAACGCCGAAGGGTAGTCTTGTGAATTCGTAAAAACCCTTGTTCGTAGCGATGACACAATAGCGCCTACTGTCGTCGTCGAGCAGTAGCTGAGCATAAGCTTGGCTGAGATCTAATTTGGAAAATACAGATCCACCAGATAATTGCGATAACAAATCACTCGGGTTGGGAATAGGATGCTGGTTAGCTTCAATGTGTTTGTTAATAGACACTTTAAAATCTGCACATAAGCGGATGGTGTTGTTTTTCTTTTTCACAACCACCACGGGGGTGCCCAATCAGCGGTAGAGACTGGCTTGATGATCCCCTTCCCCTCTAGACGCAACAACTCCGCTTCAACATTAGTGCGGACGGCGTATGGGACAGGATGAGAACGGCAACTCTTGGGGGTGGGTGACCCTTGAAGCTGGATCTTGGCAGACTGACCAAAGGGCCCTCTTGAAACACGGTAGGGAACTGACGCAATAGACTATCTAGCGACAATGTATGGACTTGTGCATTAGGAAAATTTGACCAGTCTATAATGACGTGGGACATCCAGTTTACCAGTCTATAATGACGTGGGACATCCAGTTTCGACCAAACAGGGGCTGACCACTACCCTCTACAACAACGATGGTGTCTCGAAACTGGTGAGACTCGTAACGTACATCGACAATGCATTCACCCAATACAGATAGGGAACTACCATCATACGAATGCAGAGATGCACGAGACTTATTCAGACAAACATTGGGAAACTGCTCCTTCCAAAAGAACTAGGGAATACTGAAACTTCAGCACCAGTGTCGACTTCAATCGGACAGACTACATCATTAACGCATACATCAATCATCATGGGAGGATGAGACATAGACTTAGGTTGACACTTATCTGTAGCTGACACATCGTCGGTGAGAGCACCAATGCTGAAGGAGTCGAACAGTGACTCTGGCTCGGACGAAATGTGGGACGTCGACTGCGAATTGCAGCAGGAAGCGAAATGCCCACGACGCTGACACTTGCTGCAGGTTTTGCCACGCGTTGGGCAACTTGGATCCCGACCGAAATGATCAGCCTTGCCACACCTAAAACAGAGACGCTCAGAGGAAGTAGAAGCAGAAACAGACACTCTCGCAGGTTTACGTGCACGATCCGTTTTACCTGACGACTTGAAATGTTGTTTCTGCTGTTTCTGCGACACAGAGTGCTTACGAGAGAGACCGTGGACTTCTGATGGTGTACTCATAGCAGCAGAGGAACCCATAGACGAAGCTTGTTGCTGGGTTGCCTCAAACAAAGCTGCAATCTCGAGACAGGTACCCAAAGTTAGTTTTGGATCTGATAACAACTTCTTTTTCAACTCGACATTCACAATGCATGACACCACATGGTCTCGGATCATGTCGTCACAAGCGGAACCAAAATTACACAAGCGGGCCTGGACGCGTAATCTTACAACAAACTGACTCACCGACTCATTCCTAGCAAAGGTCATCTGGCGCAGCACGTGACGCTCGTATACAGGATATGGCGCGGCCTTGAAATGTTCGTTCAGTTTCCGTAACGTAACCTTGCACTCGTGGTCATCCGCAGGCAGAGCCGACGCCTGTGGATCTTCGAGGTCTTCGAATAAGTCCTGAACCTGTGTTCCGGCAGTATGCAGCAATACATTTTTCAACCGTTTGTGAGGTGACAGCGCTGCCAACTTTGCTGTTGAACCCACTCCGATGACACGCGTTCGTTTGCTTGTCCCATACCATGCGGAAGATAATGCGTCGTAGAACTGGTCTATGAGCTCAGGCTCTTCCTTTGTACTTTGGGTTCGTGGGTCCATGTGCCACGACAAACCGAACTGGCAGTGATGAGTTTTTGGCTTGCGGAAACGATAGGTCGACACAGCCCACCAGATCCGGCAGTTTTTTATTTATTTTAGAAATGCACAGTTCAAATAGTTTTGAACTTTGAACCAGCGAAGCCAATTCCGTCATGGCTGTCGTCTGTCAGGCCAAAGCTCGCCAGCCTTTGAGTTTTACTAATACTTCTGACGAACGGATCCTTTGTTCTCAGCTCCTGAAGTCCACAGAAGTCGACCCGATACGTTTGCAAATAACGAGCGAGTTGTCTGGGTTTTGAGTTCGAAAACAGAGCATGAACATTGAACGTCGCTATACGAGCGTTTCTCAAAGCCATACGGGAAGGCTCGGAACGCGGAAACAAAGCACGGGTAGGCTGGCAGGCTCTGACAAAAAGGTTGGGAGATAATAAAGAATTCGAGTAATAGAGTGGGGGAGAGAAAGTTTGCTGAGCAGTCTGCCCAACACCAGGGACAATATGGTCTTAAGTTTATGTGCGAGTATGGTGTGATGTGTGACGTTTATAGTGTTGTGGATGCAAGAGTACGCAGTGGCAGAGTGTGAGAATTTGGTTCCGTCTGTGTGAGAGTGACTGTCAAGTAAATGCTGTATATGCGCAGTGCTAGTTTGGTCTGGGAATGAGAGTGTGATTAGTCCGTGGTCTGGTTGTCTTGGTCCTGGTCATGTGGTTTGTACCTATTGGTACCTGATTGGTCGTCAAGATTTGCATGCAGGCGAATCCTCCCGGTTTTCCTGGCAAAATCCAGGAAAATCAACTACTACAACATAACCGCAAACCATCATGGTACAAACGCCGGTAAAAACGCACAGTGATGCACATAGCGATGGCAGCTTAGCGCAAATCGATGAAGACAAAGAAACCCTTGGTTTGATGTTCTACTCTCTTCTCCAAGAGTTGGCGGATGGTAAATATCATGTCGGAGCATGATCTGCCACGGCGAAAGCTACACTGCGATTCCGGGAGGAATTCTTTGGCGAGAGACTGGAGGCGTAGCTGAATGACTCCTGCTAGTGCCTTGCCTACGACATCCAGCAAAGATATCCCACGCCAGTTATCGCACCTGGAGAGGTCACCTTTTTTTGGGTATTGGCACCGGTATGGCATCTACCCACTCCTGGGGGACACGACCCTCACGCCACACATCGCCAAATAGCCCATGAAGGCTGAGAAACAGCTGCTCGCCGCCAAATTTCAGCATTTCCGGGAGGATACCAGAGGCTCCAGCCGATTTCCCACTCTGGAGCTTGCCAATAGCACGACAAACTTCCTCCAGTGTAGGGGGACTAGCGAGATCTTGGTCTACCGGCAGTTGTGGGATGTAGTCCAGCGCACTAAGTGACCATGTGCTATGGATGTTCAGCACTCCAGAGAAATGTCTCTGAAAACGGTGACCCTGCTCTTCTGGTAACGCACACACACACATACACACACACACACACATGTCCTGTCCTGTACACACACACACACACACACACACAAACACATATTTATACACATACACACCCAGGCATCCGAACACATACACACACACAAGCATACACACACACAAATAACAGGTGCGTAGAGGCCCAATGCCATTCAGCAAATCGCAGATGCTTACGAACACCTTTTGGGTTACATTTTTCTCCTTTTCTGGTTTTCTGAGCTTGCATTAAATTTGTATTGCATTTTCATCCATTGTATTTCTTTTCCCCGTAAAAGAGTCTTCATACGCTATTCCCGGGGTCTCGTGGATTTCAAACAAATTCACGTTAAAGTCACATCTTTGTCTGATACAAAATGTTTCGGAAACTCCATGGAATCGCCTCGAATGTCCCGTTCTTCTTCTTCCAAAAATTACAGTGCGCAATCGCACTTCAAACTGTGCATAGCACTTTCAAGACCTGACCAGCCTAGCCTGCAAGATCTGCACTTTCAGGCGCGGGCGACGACTGATCGAACTGCACTGCAGGGTTGAACAGTATTGTACAGATCTGCAGTTTATGCCGTCAAACCTTTTTTTGCCGGGAAAGCTCTTTTTCGTGACATTCAGGGATTTTGAGAGAAATCCAGGGATTCTGTATGTCTTGTCAAGGGATAAAGATTTAGGTGGCTGGTCAGTATGGATTTGTATCCGCTCTATTATTTATTACTGCTTGTTCTTTGTGGTTTCTCCGTGTCCTTCCTGTTGTTGTTTCGTTTGACCTTCGTTTTCCATGCTCCTTCTGCACGTTTGTCATTTTTCTTAGCTTTGCAACAAACCTCATGCTTGACAATAGTAGAAAAATGACGGAGACTATATTTTACAGTGTTATATGTGAACTGCGCAACCTAACCCAGTTGCATATGAATCATGTTGTGGGTTAGGAGTCTAGGTTATTTCTGAAAACAAGGTCATGATTCGGCCTTTTAGATTAGAACTGCTATATCCTAGACTGGGTGTTTTGTGCACTACCCGGAACTAAGCAACAACAACATTGTCCTTGTGGCTTGTCGTTTGTAGAGATTTGTATAATAATCAGATCCAGACTTTAAGTGATGGTGTGTTCTCTGGTCTAACAAACCTCAAAACACTGTAAGTATTCTCAATTACGCCATTGAATGCAGGGAACAGTTGTAGAACTGTGTATTATATAGAGTACTGCCGAATACGTGATGAACAAACCTCTAATATCTGTGAGTATTATTATCTGCTGCACTGGATTGAAGGGAACAGTTGTAGACGCTGTGTGTGAAATGCTTTGTTATGAAGCCGAATACGTGATGAACAAACCTCTAATATCTGTGAGTATTATTATCTGCTGCACTGGATTGAAGGGAACAGTTGTAGACGCTGTGTGTGAAATGCTTTGTTATGAAGCCTCTGATGCTCGTAAGTGTCAGAAACGAACGAGCACACGGCACAAGGAAAACTATTGACTCTTAACGGAATATTTCCCTTGATGAAACATCATGACTCAGTCTAAGACCACCAGATAATTATAGCATGCAAATGACAGCGTACACAGTAAATCGCACACAGCGCATATAGCGTATACCATCAAGAGTACATAACCCCCCAGAGTGTGCAACGCCTGATCCAGCTGTGCATAGGGTCTTGGTCAAGCGGAATCGGATCTTTGCGTCATAATACCGTACACATCTGAGGGGAACCCGGGAAGTCGCGGGTACTCTCGGATCAAAAACAATGGTGCCCTGCCTCGAGACCGGCCTTGCGCTGGTGTGGAGCGTACGCATGACATCAGAAGGTCCGATTCCGCTCGACCAAGATCTTATGCAGAGCTTGATCGGCGTTGCACACTCTGGGGGGGGGGTATGTACTCTTGATACCATGCATGATGCATCAGCGGTACGGCGGAGTCGAAATACGACATTCAAGCGAATACCATGTCATCAGCGAGAACTTGTGGTTTTGTAACCCCCCCCCTCCCCAAAGGACTTCTCCGTGTCGTACAACAGCTCACAAGTCAAGTGATTCGGGGCTCACTACGTGTCATCTGCTGCTGCAATGGTGACCAAGGTGGAATATCAGTGCTCACCACTTCTGCCAACTCAATTGTTCCAAGCTCGTCTATGTAGGCTGTGAAAAATGACACGGTCACAGGCTTACTGTTTCGACACGTTGCAGACGCTGGACCAGACAACACACAACCTATCTCTGTGTTCCACACAGTCTCGCCTTCTCCTTTCCTTAGGCAGAGACTCCAGCTTCTTCTCGGCGTGTCCGACCCATATTGACATGCAATGCGCCGATATAGTGGGCTTTAGACCTGATCCTCCCACTGGTTTCTTGGCAGTATCACCCCGTCGTCCGTGTGCGACCTGGTGGTGAATTGAGAATTCGAGTCGGCAAGAATAGCGCAAGCACCCACATAGGGAGCAACACACACTTCCCCCATTATCGCCGAAGTCGCACAAACCTCTTCTTCACAATGTTGTACCATACAGCAAATGGTTAATCAGGCATGTCTTGTCAGGTCCGGTAATCTCTGGCATAACAGCAAGGAGCCCTGTGCGTGTTGTGTAGCGCACGCACAACAATTATTCACCACTACTACTGCGCACACAGCACTCACAACGGCGGACTGGAAGGTAAATAAAAGGACTGAAACTTGGAAATCAGTTATTTATCAGGGGAAGACAAACACCCTGTGTTATATGCTTCTACAATCATGGTTGAACTGTGATAAAGTCATCCTTTATACAATAAACCCTAAAAAACCAAAACATCAACTTCTTGATGGGTTTTACAATGGAATATCTCCTGGTAATCTTATCATTGAACAACCAGACAAGGTTTGTCCAGTGGAGGATCTCGATGATCAGGAAAATAAGGTGATAATTTTTGATGACATCAAGATTGATAAAACGAACATGACAAAATTGATGGAATACTTCAGTCTTTCTCGGAACAAGAAATGTAACTATATCTTTGTCAATCAATGATGTACCGAAATATGCCCGGAGAAATACCAAGTGTTTCCTGCTGTACAAGGGCTTAGACAACAGAGATGTCCAATGTCTAGCACATGATCACGGCGAGTCCGATAGGCCGTCTGTTTGGACCCGGTGATCCCTCCTCAAGTGTGTGGCGTCAGTGTTTGATCCGCTAGGTCTAGCAGCACCGGCAGTTGTGCCGGGAAAGATACTGCTACAGCAAGCCTGGAAAGTCGGAGGCGACTGGGATGATAAATTGCCTGATGGCATCGATGGCCTGATGGCATCGCAGCCACATGTGCGCAATGGTGGAGAGAGTTGGCCGAAGTGGTGAGCATTGACATACCTCGTTGGATTTGCTGCAATCTTTACACGCCGATTGCGCTTCATGCCTTCGCGGATACCAGTGAGAAAGCGTTTGGATGTTCTTTGTATGCAGTCGTCAATGGACAGTCGCACTTGGTATTTGCCAAGGCCAAAGCGTCACCCGTGTCTCCGCCCACGTTAGCCCGCCTTGAGTTACAAGCAGTATGTCTAGCGGCTCGCTACGCTGAGTTTGTGGTGAAGGAGCTGCGTGTGACCGTCACGCAAGTCTATGGCTGGACTGGCAGTCTCACTACCGTTCATTGGATCAGTAATCCATCGTACAAATGGAAAACATTTGTGGCTAACCGCGTCAGTCAAGTCCAAGAGATATCGTAGAATGTCGGCATTGTGTGGAACCATTGCCCGGGCCTTCACAACCCAGCAGATTTACCGTCGCGGGGAGTAGTGCACAGCAGATCCGTAGTCCGTTCTGGATGGGCGGACCAACCTGGATCACGGAGCCCAATGACTGGCCCACCGCATCCTCAACCGCAGCTACAGATGAGTCCAGTGTAGGAGTACGAGTGTCAGCCACCACCTGTAGTCGAGAATCTGATAAGGAATGGTGGCTCCGATTCAGTAAGTGGTCGAGAGCACAGGGCATGGTGACTCGGATGTTGCAGTGAAAGCACACTGAGCCTCGTGCTGAACTCTATTTTGCAGCAGACAACGTATTGTACCGCATCGTTCAAGCCGAATGTTTCGCTGAGGGTCTTGAGCTGATCAAGCAAGGTCAACCAGTGAGGCCTGGGTCGAAGGTGTATCAGCTTGCACCGTTTCTGGATAAGCATAGAGTGCTCAGAGCCGGGGGACGACTTCAGCACAGCGAGTTGGCGTATGGAGCCAAGCACCCAGTCCTGTTAGGCAAACATCATCTGACCGGCTGTTGGAGAAAATGGATGTTTAAAGGATGCACCAAGGTGTAGAAGGGGTCTTGTCGTTCATCCGTCAGACATTCTGGATTATCGGTGGTCGACGAGCGCTACGCAACATTACTCAGCGATGTGTTACATGTCGCCGCTACAAGGCTAAGGCGGCCTCAGAAGTCTTCCCGCCGCTGCCAGAAGACCGAGTTGTTCACGAGAAACCGTTCGCAACTACCGGCATCGACTATGCTGATCCGTTGTACGTGCGCAGAGGTGAGTCATCTCCGAAGGTATGGATAGCATTGTTTATGTGTGCCACCACCAGAGCAGTTCACTTGGAGGTGGTCGATAGTTTAAGTACTGAGTCATTCTTGATAGCATTTCGGAAGTTTGTCGCGAGACGTGGTTTGCCATCTCATATCAGATCTGACAACGCTACAACGTTCAAGGCGGCATCTGACAAACTGAGTGTGCCATGGATGTTCAATCCTCCTGCTGCACAATGGCATGGAGGCTTCTATGAGCGAATGGTTGAGTGCCTTGAAGAAGGTAATGGGAACAGCGTTTCTGAGGGTCCAGGAGCTTGAGACCCTCTTGCATGAGATTGAAGCAGTGGTGAATAGTCGTCCACTAACTTATGTGTCTGATAGCCTGGATGAGCCACCAGTAACCCCTGCAATGATGATGGGTAACATCTGGATATCGTCAAAGAAGCCAGCAGGTACCCTGGACGCTACGCAGATGTCAGCGAGATTGCGCTACCTCAGTCGGACACTGAAGCATGTCAAGTATCGTTGGGAGGTGGAGTACCTAAGTCAGCTGAACAAGCACCAACAGACCATGCCGCGCCCTTTCGCTGTGTGTGATGCAGTCTTTGGTCTCGATGATACCAAGCGCAAGCAGTTCTGGCGTTTAGGTCGGATCGTCGAGTTATTCCTCGGTTGAAATGGTAAGCGTCGTGTTGCCAAGGTTAAGTTGAGTACCAGGACCCTGTTGAGGCCGATCCAGAGATTATGGCCTTTAGAAGTATTGTCACAGGACGTGGCTCTTGGGCCTGCCGATGCCGCTCAATCTGCTATCGTCGCTCATTAGCCAGCGTCTGAACAGCCAGCGTCTGAACAGCCAGCACCATTACCACCACCATCATCACAGCTGCAGGGGATGACGCGTTCTGGGCGCGTAGTCAGAGCCCTGGATCGTTTTTGACTTGTGTGAATTGTTGTACGGCGGTGAGAAGCCCTTTGGTGGGGAGAATGTTGCAAACCACCAGTTCTCAAGTGGGAAAGGCCTTCGCGCTTATGGCATTGTATTCGTTGCAATGCTGTATTTCGACTCCCCCATACCGCTGATGTTGTGGCATGGTATACGCTATATGCGCTGTGTGCGGTTTGCAGTATACGCTGTCATGTCATATTTTATATGCGTACGTTTTGCATGTACGCTGTTTTTGCATGCTATAAATATCTGGTGTTATTAGTGTTCATTGTTAATTATTCGATGAAGTGAAATATACTGTGGAAGAGAAAAGAGTTGTCCTCATGCAATGTGGTCGTTCGATCCTGACAATTTAGAGAATCGCAGAGGGTTCATAACAACCATATGTTCGTGGATGCAAATCACGGTTTCAGTACACGGCCTCAAAACAACGTCAAATACATGTACTTCGAAATAACACTCAAACAACTACTAAGCGGCAAGTTACTCTTGGCGCTTATCTTCGCACTTGTTTTTTTCGGTATTCTGCTTGCGTTCTACCGCATAAAACCACTAATCATAACCTATACTTTGACCGTTTCATACATCGACATGACCACTCAAACCCACACAGGAGTTGAGAATGGTGCCTTTCAGTCTTTTCGACAGGAACTGCCAGCAACAGACACTTTCGTCAGCGCAATAGGATTTA